GAAATAAAGGCTGTTGATGTCGTGTTTTTCTAGATTGGCTCCTCACTTTTTTCACATGTGCCAAAATTCACCATGAGAACGTGCCCAGTGCCAGGAGCGTGCCCAGTTCTCGTCACTGGCGCTTTCTCTCTGCGGCCACCAGGGCTGCTGGAGCCGTCGCAAAGCTGAGACCAGGGAGCCGTGCCACGGAAGGGAGCCGGTGTCAGAACTGTGCGGTGTCCATCCCGTGCCCGGTGACCACGCTGCGCTTGCCAGAGCTTTGTGCTGGGTGCTTTTGCGACAGTCTGATCTGGTCCTGACTCCGCATGCTGTTGGACAGAGAACACGTCCTGGTTTACATAGCGATAGACAGGAAGTTGCTCACAGTGAGTGGGTTTTATAGGTGCTGTCTGCTCGGTTAGACAAGGCCCTCTTTCCCTAGATAGCTGAGTTTCCAGATGAATGAGCACTGGGTTGTGTGGAGCACTTTCGCCGCTCCACCATGATGCTGGTGTGTTTCCTGTCTGCTCTACCCATCCTGTGGTGGCATTGGTAGTTTGGGGATTTTAAGCCGATTTTGCACTCCTGAGATAAATCCCACTTGGTCATGGTATATAATCTTTTTCATATGTTGCTAGATTCAGTTTGCCAATATTTTGTTGAGGATTTTTCATGTCTGTATTTATGGCGGATGTTGTATTTAGTGTCTGGCTTTGGGATCAGGGTATAATGACCTCAGAGACTGAGTTGGCGAGCTCCTCACTCCATCATTCTGGAAGTGCCTCTCACTGCTGAGTTTCTGGAGTTTTTTTGAGAGGTCTTTATATATTTTGAAGCCAAACTGAATTGTAAAATTTTGTCCTGGTATGAGGTTTGCTTTCATTCACTTAGCAGTGCCCTTCACAAACCAAGTTTTTCAAAGTTGGATGGAGCCAGATTTTTTTTAATGGATGTTTTTCAATTTGGATTGTTCCAATTGTTCCATTATGGGTTGTTTCCATTGTTTTATTTGTGGATTATGCTTTTGGTGTGTATCTAAGAACTCTTTGTCTAACCCAAGATCACAAAAATTTTCTCATAAGTTTTCTTCTAAAAGTTTTAGAGCTTTACATTTTTACATTTAGATCTATGATCCATTAATAATAGAATCACCTTGTTGATAGCTATGAAAAACTCTGCTGGAATTTTGAGTGGGGTTGTATTGAATTTATAGGTCAATTTGGAGGTCATTGGCATATTAATATTGAGTATTCTAATCCATGAATATGATATATTTTTCCATTTATAGGGCTTTTTGGTTTCTTTTATCAGTATTTTGTAGTTTTCAGCATATAGATTTATACCTATATATTTTGGGGTGCTATTATAAGTGTCATTGTTTATTTAATTTCAGTACCTAATTGTTTATTGGTAATATGTAGACATACAGTTGATTTTTGTATATTGACTTTGTATCTCAGTACCTTGGTAAACTCATTTATTATTCCTAGGAAGCTTTTTTGTTGTTTCCACAAAATCTTCTACACAGACAATCATGTCTTCAGTGAATAATGATCACTTTATTTCTTCTTTTGTACTGTATGCTTTTGTTTCTTGCCTCATTATGTTCGCCAGGACTTCCTATGTTGTGTTGAGTAGAAGTATTCATAGGAGCAGACATTCTGACCCTGTTTCTGCTCTTAAGGGGAAAACATTGACTCTTTCACTGTTAAGGATGGTGTGAGCTCTAGGTTTCGTCACAGACTCTCTTTGTCCTGCTAGAGGACTCCCCTCGATTCCTACTTTGCTGAGAGTAGTTTTTATCATGAACGGATATTTACTCTTGTCAAATGCTTTTTCTGCATCTATTGAGATGACCATGTGGATTTGCTTTAATCTGTGAAGATGGTGAACAACATTGATAGATTTTCATGTGCTGAACCAGCCACAGCTAGGATTTGTGGGATTAATCCCCCTCAGTCACGATAGATTGTTCCTATTGCTGGCTTTGATTTGCTGATATTTTGTTGAGGACTTTTAGTGTCTGTATTCCTGAGGGATATTGGTCTGTAGTTTTCTTTTCTTGAAATGTTTTGGTCTGGTTTTGCTATTAGGATATTACTGGCCTCAAAATGAATTAGAAAGAATTTCCTCCTCTTTTACTTTCTGGTAGACATTTATGTAGAATTGGTATTATTTATTCCTTAAATGTGTGGTAGAATTCACCATTAAACTATCTGGGCGTGGAGTTTTTGGAAGGTTTTTTATAATAGATATAGGTTATTCAGATTATATATTTCTTCTTGAGTGAATTTTAGTAGCTATGTCTTTCAAGGAATTGGCCTCCTTCATCTAAGTTGTTGAGTTTTTGAGTGTATCATGGCTCAGGGTGTTTCTTTTTTTTTTTTTTAATCCTCACCCGAGGACATTTCTCCATTTTTTGCACAGATAGAGTGGGAGGGAGAGAGAGGAAGAGAGAGAGAGGGAAACATCGATACGAAAGGGACACATCGAGTGGCTGCCACCCGCACGACCAACCAGGGCCGGGGACAAACTGCAACCAAGGTACACGCCCTTAGCGGGAACTGAACCCGGGCCTCTCCGGACCGCAGGCGGATGCTCTAACCGCTGAGCCAAACCGGCCAGGGCTCAGGGTGTTTCTTTATTATCCTTAATTTCTGTGTGATATATAGTGATATCCTCTTTTATTCCTCAAATTGATCATTTTTACCATACCTTTTTAAAAAAGATTCTTTAATTGATGTTTAAAGAGAGAGGAAAAGAGGGAGAGAGAGACTTCAAATGCCCCACAAGGCATTGAGCCAGCAACCCTGTGGCGCAGACAGCACCCAACCAACTGAGCCCCACGCCGGGCCCTTAGCCCTTGTCAGGGCAGCTCTGCTGATGACAGCACCTCCTCACTGTCACTCATTTGAAAATGTCCTTGGCACCTGCCCTCCTGGAGCGTGCAGTTTGCTGGAGGGAAAGCTGTTAGTTAACTCCGTCCTTCCGCCGTGGAGCTGGAGATTCCACTTTGTGCTGAGACACTGGTCTTCATGTGGCGGCCCCTCGGCGCTGTGGTCTCTTCGCTCTGGCTGCTTTTAAGACTGGGTTTTAATCTCTGCTTTTTAGCAGTATGATCATTATGTTTCCTGGCCTGACTTTCTTTTCATTTATTCTGTTTATGGTTTTCAGCTTCTTGAATCTGAAAAATATGACTTTCACTAAATTTGGGATATTTTGAGCCATTATTTCTTTTTCTGCACAAATAATCATTTTTTCTCCTTTAGGGGCCAAAATAACACAATGATATTGTTCTTTTGATATTATCCCACAGGTCCCTGAAGCTCTGTACATTTTCCCTCAATATTCTCTTCTCTCTTTCACATTGGATAGTTTCTCTTGATCTAGCTTCAAATTCACTGGCTCTTTCCTTCTTTCTAAAAAAAAATTTTAATTGATTTTAGGGGGAGAGAGAGAGAGAGAGAGAGAGATAGAGAGAGAGAGAGATTGAGTTGCTGTTCTACTTATTTATGAAATCATTGGTTGCTTCTTCTATGTGCCCTGATCAGAGATCAAACTCAAACTCGCCCTTGGGTATCAGGACAACGCTCCAGCCAGCTGAGCTGCCCATCAAGGAAGCAGCTTTTTTCCTGTCATCGCTGTTTTATTATGAGTTTATCATGTGGATATTTGTTTTTTAAATCCTCACCTGAGGACACTTTTTGCATTCATCTTCAGATAGAGCAAGAGGGAGAGAGGAAGAGAGAGAGAGAGAAACATTAATGTGAGAGAGACACATCGACTGGCTGCCACCTACATGACCCCAACCAGGGCCAGGGACAAACAGCAATCGAGGTGCGTGCCCTTAGCAGGAACCGAACCCAGGTCCACGGGCTGATGCTCTAACCGCTGAGCCAAATGGGCCAGGGCTGTATTTGGTATTTTTAAAAAGTATCATGTGATTTTCTCTGGCTGTTATGGCTCAGTTGGTTGGAACATCATCCGGTACACAGAAGGTCGTAGGTTCTATTTTGGTCAGGGCACATACCCAGGTTGGGGATTCAAACCCAGGTAGGGTATGTATGGGAGGCAACTGGTTGATGTTTCTCTCTCCCCCCCGCCCCCGTTCTCCCTGCTTTTCTCTCTCAAATCAATAAAATCATATCCTTAGGTGAGAATTTTTTTAAAAAGGATCTTATGATTCTAATGTACAGAAAACTTGAGAGCCAATAGCTTTATACCTCCAGGCCTCTGCGTCCTCACCTTAAAGAGTGAGGATGGCCCGGCCAGTGTGGCTCAGTGGTTGAGCGTCGACCCTGCACCAAGAGGTGTCCGGTTTGATTCCCAGTCAGGACACGTGCCCAGATTGTGGGTCTGATCCCCAGTGGGGGGCCTGCAGAAGGCAGCCAGTCGATGTTCTCGCTCATCGATGTTTCTTTCTCTCCCTTTCCCTTCCTTTCTCTCTAAAATCAACAAAGGAAAAACAAAGAGTGAGGATGACAACGCCTGCCTTTGCACTCCCAGGGGTGGTGGGGCCTCCAAGCGGGTTTCTGAGATACTCAGCAGTTTTCAGTGTAGCACAGGTGACCAAATCTAGTCAGGTGTCAGAACCAACTAATGCCCAAGGGCATTACCAGACAGTGCAGGGACATTGTTCAAGGTCCTGCCAAGGATCAAAAGGCGAATGTAGCCCTGGCCAGTGTTGCTCAGTGGTTAGAGTGTCGGCCTGTGCACCACAGGGTCTTGGGTTCGATTCTCAGTCATGGGCACATACCTGGGTTGCAGGTTCGATCCCCAGTCCTGGTCGGGGTTGTGCAGAGGCCACCAATTGATGTGTCTTTCTCACATTGATGTTTTTTACTCTCTCCCTCTTCCTCTCTCCCTCCCTTCCACTCTATATAAAAATCAATGGAAAATATCCTTGGGTGAGGAATAACAAAAAAAGTCATTAATATATATAATTTTCAGAATATATATATATATATATATATATATATATGTAAACATTTCTGCTAAAGCTGTTCTCTCATTATTAACAGAATATCCAAGGTATCTCCAAGCACCCAGTTCAGATGACTAAACCTCAGAATTATAAAGGTAATGCATTTCTTTCTACTTTCTAAAGTCTTGGGTAACCTTTTTTTAAAAACCTACAAGTGTTGCCCTGGCCGGTTTGGTTCAGCGGTTAGAGCGTCGGCCTGCGGTACAGAGAGACCTGGGTTTGGTTCCTGCTAAGGGCACGTACCTCGGTTGCAGTTTGTCCCCGGCCCTGGTTGGTCGTGAGGGTGGCAGCCACTCGATGTGTCCCTTCACATCGATGTTTCTCTCTCTCTCTTCCTCTTTCTCCCTCCCACTCTATCTGAACAAAAAATGGAAAAAATATGTCCTCGGGTGAGGATTAAAAAAAACCCAAAAACCTACAAGTGTTTGTGATTGCTTTTCTATTGCTTTGCAGAGTTTCTCTGTGTTTGCATGGCCAGGACTTAAATATACATGGAAAAATAAAACACAGCTAAAGTGACATGGCATCTCCCTTCTAGCAGTTTACAAGTTAAAATAGATGGTAATTATACAGAGAAAGCAGCTCCCTCCTACCATCTCTCCCCACCAACTCCCCAGTCAAGGAAAAACGACTATAGAGCTAGCTTTTATTAAAGTCTGGAAATGTCTGTAAAAGCGCATTAACACTCTTCTTTCTCTTAAGCTACCTCACTGTGGTACTGATGGTTCCTTTTCTGACAAAGAAAAAGGTCAGGTCTGAACCATGTAGATTCTGTGGCTCATTCCCAGAAAGCCCTGCACCATGGTGCTGCCCACTCACCCACTCTGTTTTGGGAATGACCACCCGGAAGGTCAGGGCACGACAATGAAGCCTGATGAGCAGCCCCTGTTAAAACACACACATGTGTCTAACCAGGAGCGTGGAAGGTGGTCAGAAGCCCTGCACAGCACACTCAGTGAGGAGCCCTAGGAGCACGTGCTTCCCTGCGTCGGTCGCACTGTGAGCCCCTGGAAGTCTCTGGACTCTCCGGATCGCTCTTAATGGGACGCAGTCCAGTGTCAGTGTTCAACCTTTCCTTCTTTAGGAATCCTAGACACAACAGAAGATCTACTTACTGTCCGTAATAATATGATATTTTAAAATTGCGTTAATCAAACTATTCAGGAAAACCTGAAACCTAGACTCCTTTGACTCTAGAATGATGTTAAAATCACTTTGTAGGAGGGGTGGCTGCAGATCAGCTCATGACCAGATCCATCAGCTGCTCTCACCCTCACGCGCCAGGGAAGGAAGAGGAAGTCCTCACCATCTCCCCAAGGACTGTGTTTGTCTCAGCCACAGGCCACACCTTCCTGGCAGCAGGTACGGGCCAACCATGGCAGAGGCACTGCGTGTCCACTGTGGCTCACTTGGTGTGTTTCATACAGTTAAAAAATCGAATATTTAAAAATCGAATAATTCAAAGGTACTTATAAAACTCATTCTTTAAAATAAACCCTAAGGCAAATATTTATATGAAGCAGAGATTTCTTATGCACAGCAAATAAGAACAGGTCCACTTCCAGGGTCCCTCATTTACCATATCTAGATTGCAAATGGCCCTGCAGGGTCCCAATCAATCTGCTCCTCCCTTCACCTCTGTGCTCAGCACTCCGGCCATGCAGGCCTCTCTGCTGTCCTCCACCTCAGGCCCCGCGTGGAACCTTCATCCCCAGATAGTGTCTTGTTCCCTCCTTGGCTTCGTCTGTGCCTTTGCCCAGATATCCCTGTCTTTGTGAGCTACACACGTACACCCCATTAGAGCAGCATGTCCCTGCCTCGTTGTCCCTGAACCTCCTGACCCACCTCTTCCACTTCGTTTCCCACCTACCAGGCACTCTTCTCCCCTCCTGGAGTACACGCTCCTAAGAAAGAGACTAGTGTCTGTGCTTTCACCAACACATCCAAGCACACAGCCTGCACACAGTAGGCCCTTTCTGAAATTCTGAGGTTCAGATGGGCGGATGGATCAGTACAGCCCACATGGAGGCATTGCCGGCCTCATGGAAGGCAGAGGGGCCTCTGGGACTTGCAAACACAGGGATGACCAGTGGCCCTGCAGCCCAACGACCCTGCAGAGGGGAGACGGTGTTGACCTCGATGCTGAGATGCATAGGGAAGATCCAGGGTGGGCTGGGGTGGGGAGCAACAATGAGGAGCATTGTTGTTAGATCCTGAATTAATGCAGAGCTCTTTCTCACAGACTTTTCACAGATTGAATTGCGCATTCTTGCACATTTATCTGGGGATCCAGAACTTTTGAAGTTATTCCAGGAATCTGAAAGAGATGATGTATTTTCTACCCTGACTTCACAGTGGTAAGATATATGAGCTCACAATAGTATCAGATCTGCAGGAATGCCTGCATTCTAAAAGCCTGAGTTATTCTGAGGCTATTTTCATAAGAAATTATATTTTTCTCTGGTGCTTAATCTTTTGAACAGAAGAGTAGATAACTAGGATGCCAAGAGTTTCCTAATTATGAAAACTGGTAACTCTTCACTGCTAAAAAAGTAATAAAAACATTGGAAAAATTGAAAGTGCAAGTCACAGATTCCCTGCAGATGAGTGGCAGTGTGCATAGCTGGGAGCCCAGGGTGGTCACCCTGCTGCCCACCCCAGCAGGCGGCCAGAGCACGTGGGGCTGCACCCACCACCTTGTGCACTCGGGGGGACCCCAGCAGTAGACGGCCTCAGGTTTTGTTGGGCAGCTCTACGGTCTCAGCCAAGGCCTGTCCTTCCTGTGTCAGTGTAGGGAAGGTGGTGCTTGTCTGGGCTGTGAAATGCCTGCTGCCTGTCTCCGGGCAGGAAGGGGAGGGGAGATGCGGGCTCTCCTCCCACATCCTCCCCTGGTCAGGAGGGTCAAAGCCCTGCCCAGAGCCCACTGCAAATGACCAACCACTGCACCTCACTTTCCAGAGCCAGGTTGTCAGCTGCCATAGCTGCAAGAGAGTCTGGTAAAGGGAATGTTCTAAAACAGAGAGGCACAGTCACAATTTCTCACCAAATCCAGGTACATCACTGCCTGGAGCACAGTCAGATTCTGCTCCCAGAAAGCAGAGGGGCTCCTGCCGCCACGGACCCCTCCTTCAGCAGCTGCAAACAGCAACACCCTCCCCTCCCCTCAGCCTTTCCCTCGTACTGCTCCCTTCTGTGGCCTCCTCACCCTCCCTTCCCCCATTCCTCATCACCCTGATGACCTGCCAGAGTCACGCTAGAGATGACGCTCCCCGAGAGCTGTCCTCTGCGCTCTCTGGTCCTGTGCTTCCCTCCTTGCACACTCACCACGCATCACCGCATCACCGTGGTGCATGAGCCCTCAAGGGCAGGGCCGTGTCCCGTGGTCCAGAGCAGGAGCTGACCACTCTGCCCCTCACTGCCTCCACCCTCTCCAGCCAGCGGGCTGATCCAGGCCCATGCCTCGCTCAGGCCTTTCTGTCCACATGGCTTATCCCTCACCAATCCAGTGGTTTTAATACATTCACAAGGTTTTTTGGCCACCACCACTGTCTAATTCTAGAACATTCCCATCACCCCAAAGAGAAACCCCGCACCCATCACTCCCCATTCTTCCTCCTGGCTCTGTGCCTTTCCCTGTGGGGACCTTTCCCACTGATGGGATCGCGTCCTGGCAGCCTCCGTCCTGGCTGTGCTCTCCGAGCCGTGCTTTCAGGGCTGCCGTGTTGTTCCATGTGGAGGGCTCGACTCCTCTTTTGGCTGAACAGCAGCCCATTATATGGAACAACGTAGTCTATATATTTCAGTGTAGAAGAGCAAGTGATATTTTATTTACCCACTCGTCAATTTATGGATATTTATTTTCTTTCCACATTTAGGCTATTATGAATAATACTGCCATGAACATATTCTGCAAAAGATTTTATGTAGACATATGTTTTCATTTTATGTGGGTACATACCAAGGGGTGGATTTGCTGGATCATGTGGTAATTCTATGTTTAATTTTCGTATTGTGGTAAAATGCCAAACATTCCCCTTCATAACCATTTTAAAGTGCACGGTATGGTAGTAGCTATACTTGATTTCTTTGTGGAACTGCCAAACTAGTTTTCAAAATAGCCACGCCATTTACACTCCCATGAACAGTGCACGGGTCCCAGTCCCTCCTTGTTCTCATGGTACTTTGTACGTCTGTCTTTCTCATTCCAGCCGTGCTGGCGGCTGTGACGTGGTATCTCACTGTGGGCTTATTTGTATTTCCCTGATGACCTCTGAGGTTGAGCATCTCTTTCTGTGCTCACCACTTTTTCTTCACCTTTGTCTTTTTCCTTGGCTAAACCTGGAACAAAGGTGCACCCTGGTTCACCTTTGTTCCAGCTTTTGCTCACCCTAGCTTTTTCTATACTTCTTTCCATATGTCCTTCTGTTTCACTTTCCCTCCAGTGAAGATATAAGATAGTATAGAATTCTTGAGGCATGTCATCCATTTAACAACACTCCTGCCCTGTCTCCCGAGGTGTGGAAAGTCTTGGAAGACGGTCCCGGCTTCAGCAGGAAGAGTGTTTTGCTTATTTTGTTCACTCCTGAGCTGTGTTGCTGTCTTAGTGCTTTGATGAAATAGCACCCTGGATAGTCTCCTTTATAGTGTGTGAAAAAATCTGTGATTCAGGACAAGTGTTTGCATAGATCCCTGAGCATGCCTTTGTTCAGAGGGCCCAAAGCTCCCATGGCTATTGCTAACCATTATCACAACAACACATTTTGTCCAAGTTCAGGCAAAGGTTGCAGCTAAAGCAGTGCCAACAGGGCAATGTATAGAACTAAATGCTCATGTCAGAAATCAGGAAAGATCTCAGTTTATTCTGTGAAGCCAGTATGACCCTGATGCCTAAATCAGACAGAGAGAGTGAAAATGAAATAAAACAAAACAAACCCCACTCAGAACTTGGATGCAAAGCCCTCAACAAAATATCAGCAAACCAAATCCAACAATGTCTAAAAGTGATTACACACCATGTCCAAGTGGGACTTGTTCCAGGTATGCAATGCTGGTCACATTTTTTAAAATCACTGCAGTCCACCACATGATCAAGCTAAAGAATAGAAATAATATGATTTCATCAGTTGACCCAGACAAAGCATTGGACAAAGTTCAGCAACCATTTATGGGAAAAATTCCCAGGAAGTTAGAAAGAGGGGGAACAACCACAACTGGATAAAGAACATCTACAATCACCTACAGCCAACAGCATGTTTGACGGCCAGCAGCTGACTGCTTTCCCCCTAAGATCCAGAACAACTTATTGGTACTGAATGTTTAAGTTCTAGGCACCAACCAAGGCAAGAAAAACAAATGGTATACAGATTGGAAAGGAAGAAATAAAACTGTCTTTATTTGCAGATGACGTGATTATCTATATAGAACTTCCCAACGAATATACAAGAAAAAACAATTTAACTCCTAAAACTAATAAACTAGTTCAGCAAAGTCGCAAGACACAGTATTAACACAAAAATCAGTTACATTTCTATAAACTGACAACAACTCCACAGAAATTGAAATTAAAAATGTAACACCAGCCTGGCTGGTATGGCTCAGTGGTTGAGCATCAGCCTGCAGACCAAAGGGTCTCAGGTTCGATTCCTGGGCAAGGGCACATATATACCTGGGTTACAGGTTTGAAGCCAGGCCCCAGTCAGGGTCATGCAGGAGGCAACAAATCGATGTGTCTCTCTCACATCTATGTTTTTCTCTCTCTCCCTCCCTCCCTTCCACTCTCCCTAAAAAAAATTAATGGAAAAATATCTTTGGGTGAGGATTAAAAAAAAGTAACAGCAGAACTGGCAGGGTGGTTCAGTGGATTGGAGCATCATCCCATGCACTGAAGGGGAAGCAGGTTTGATTCCTAGTCAGGGCCCATACCAGGTTGCAGGTTTGATCCCTGGGCAGGGCACATACAAGAGGCCACCGATTTATGTTTCTCATATCAATATTTATCTCTTTTTCTCTGTCCCCCTCTCCCTTCCTCTCTCTTTCTAAAATCAATTAAAAAAATATATATATATATATATATATCCTCTGGTGAGGATTAAAAAATAAAATGCAATACCATGCACTGTCAGTCCAAAGATAATTAAATATTTAAGTATTCAGTTAAATATGTACAGGATCTCTATGTCTAAAAGTACAAGATGCTAATGAAAGAAGTAAAAGATCTAATAAATGGAGAGGCATCGCATGTTCATGGACAAAAGCCTCGATGTAATAAATGTGTCAGTTGTCCCTAAAATGATCCACAGGTTTCATGCAATCCCTATTAAAACCCAAACAAATTTTAGAATAGACAGGCTTATGCTAAAACTTATATGAAAAGTTATAGGCCCTAGAATAGCTAAAATGATTTTGACAAAGAAAAAGGTGGGAGGAGTCACCACCTGATATGTGGACTTGGTACATTGTAACCAAAAGAGTGAAGTGTTGGCAGAGGATCCAACACATCGACACATTGTGGAACTGAAAAGAAAAGCCAGAAATAGACCCACACAGATATGCTCAATTGTATTTTTTCCACTGATTTTTTTTCTTTATTGAGTTTAGAGAGAGGAAGGGAGAGGGAGAGAGAGAGAGAAACATTGATGAGAGAGAACATCAACTGACCACCTCCTGCACGCCCCCTACTGGGGGTGGGGCCCACCACCTGGGCATGTGTCCCGATGGGGAATTGAACTGGCGACCTCTTGGTGCATGGGTCAACACTCAACCACTGAGCTACACCAGCCAGGCTCCACTGATTTTTGAAAGGGGTTTCAACTACCAGGCAGAAAATAATTCTGCTCAGATTTGTGTTCAGCTGATCACTCATAAAGCCAGCTTGAGAAGTTCATGTCCCCATTGGTTACTGTATGTCTTTTCTGCATTTTATTAACTTGGATATGTTCTTGGGAGAACCTCAAAAATCAGAAGCTTGGAATACCTGCACGGTGGCTGCCTCTCACTCCCGCCAGCAGCAGGGATCTGCACTGTGACTGCGCTGACGTTTGCTGCTGCAGACACCAGGCTGCTGTTCTGCGCAGAGGCCCGTAACGGCACCTAGTGAACAGAAGCAGCAAGATCACATGCGCTCATCCAGCGTGTTTCCTGTAAATGCCTCATTGTTTGGAAAACGAAAAGCAGGAAGGCCGTTTGATGTGATCTCCTGAAATATTTAGTAACACTTTCAAGGAATAGCAATCTCCTTGACAAGCCTTTAAGAATATATAGAGTATATATAACAATGGAGCCCTGGCCTGTTTGGCTCAGCGGCTAGAGCATCAGCCTGCGGACCAAAGAGTCCTGGGTTCGATTCCATCCAAGGGCA